AGCCACGTGGAGCAATCGGACTATTCACCGACTCGTCAGGGGATTGACAGGTTGGGGGGGCGGAGGGGGAGGGGGGCCTAGGGGAAGGTCGGGGTGGAGTAAAGGGTTCCAAGTTCGAAGTCAAGGGGGGAACAGAGAGAGAGAGACAGAGAGAGAGAGAGAAGGGGGGGGACTGTGCCAAGTTGTCCATTATGTGACTGTGACATGTGCTACTTCCTTTCTTCTTTGCCTTTTGCCTTCCAGGAAATGTTCCAAGATGCACGCCCGGCATTATGGCTCTCATGTCAATGCTACTCCCGACAAGTCCCCCTCCCGAAGAGCAACTGCCAAGCAGATTGAATGCTGATTGTTTCATTCATACAATGCAAAACTTGCTTAACATCAGTGGCACTCCTATAGCTGGAGGCACCTTCCAACAACTTCCCCAGGCCAATCGTCAATGACATCATCCGAGCCCACCAAACAGAGACTCACCCACATGTGCTTGCACTTGCACACACAGCGCCCAAATCAACAAGTAAGCACGGGGCATACATGCAAGATGGCTTGATCACAAACATATCTAAAGAACACAGCAAACAAAGTCTGATTCTGAATCTTTACCAAAAACGTCAACGGGACAACGGACTGGATTTTCTCAGAAATGTCCAGAGTTCTTGCACAGCACAAAACAAAAACGATGCTGCAAAGGTAACGGCTCCCCAAACAAAACACTCTAAGATAAAGAAAACAAAATGTTCGGTGGTATTCCCTGCTATTTTCTTGCATGCGGGTTTTCGTCTGCTCTCAGGCTCTTCTTTTTCTTATTGTGAAAGAAGCGGCATATGATAGGGCAGTTCCATATGCATTTTTTCTTTTGTGCTTTTTTCTTTTTCTGTTTTTGCGGGCGAAGCCGCAACGGGTCATCTAGTCATTCAATAGATCTTCCAGTGCCATTAGGCAATTCTGCTCATGGAAAAGAAGACGGAAAATTAGAAAAACAAAAATAGAAAAAAGGAAGGTTTGAGATTTCAAAATATGTTGCCTTGAACACCACTACCTTTTCCAGGCAAAGTCGAGAATCGAAAATGCAACAATCCGCATTCTTTGGGTGAACAGTGCTTCCGGACCAAAATGGCTTGGTGGAGACAGCCAAAAGAACAAGAAAACGCCACAGTGGCGGCGTTTCCGCAAAGCCTGGTGCACAGGGGGAATCCACTTTCGCAAAATGAGGGTCAGAGGTAGGGATGGTTTAATGATGGCTTCTTCCTTCTTGATAGCCATTGATGTGGTCATCCCTTACCCAAAACACAAAAAGAACGGATCGCCATTTTCTGGAATGCGAAACACAACCAACAGGAGGATGAGCAGCCAATCAAAAACCTCTTTATGTGTTTTTGTTCCTTTTTTTTGCTTTCCTTGTTGAAGAAATTGAAGATTACACTAACTTCCCGGCCAAACGACTGCGCATTTGACTGATACCTGAATTTGACGAGTCCTTGGCCGACATCGCACATGGGCTCTCATCTTCGGCTCTCGTCACTCCCTGCCATCCTCCGTCCGTTCGGCTGCTCGCACCGGGACACCCCTCTGTGCGGCCGGGTCCTCTGACTCCTTGAAAGGTCTCCATAGCTGGAAGTGCAAAAACCGTGCTGTGCACACGTCCTCCTATTCCTGGTCCTCTCCACCTGCCAAACTCCGAGTCACTCCCGCGTTCCAAAGAACTTCTCTCACCTGTTCCCTCAGGTAAATAAAGCAGTGTAGTCTTTCGCTCTGGCAGCCTTTCAGTCCCCTGAAGAATCATTCGACATTGCCCCTGCCCCCCTTTCTCACTGCTGCCCCCCCTCCCAGCAGTAGGAGCAGCAGCCTTTGCACCGCCTTCATCTCTTCTATCCAATCCATTCTCTTCATCGCTGTCGACAAAGTCGTATGCATCAAGGCCGCGACGGCTGTTTCCCTGCAGAGCGGCGGGAGGACCGGGCTTGAACTCACGATGAGAGGCTCCATGCAGTCTTGGCTCCTCGCCGCCCCCGTCGCCGTCGTCATCATCGTCGTCATCACTGTCAGATGGCAAATCAGCAGCCAATTCATTGATAATCTCTCCAATGATAGCATCTGCAGCTTCCAGTGGCGGCCGCAAAGGCGACTGCGATCGGGACGCTGAACCGAAGGCCAACTCCTCATTCTTGGGGGATAGACTCCCAACACCCACGACCTTCTCACTGGAACTAGGTTGTCCCGTATCCATTGGGTCTGTAACGGGTGGAAGTAGTGAGACACTCAGCTTGTTGTTCGAAACCCCTTCTCTTCCTCCCAATACCACCTCCTCCATCCCGCACCCTCCTCCTAACACTGGCTGCTGCTGCTCTTCATCACAATCATCACAAGGTTTCATCTCTCTCCCCTGCAATTCCCACCCCCCTCCTTCCTCCGGAGAGCAATCAATCATCAATTACCGGTCAACACTCCGTCATGATACTACACTATCCATACTGCTCCCTCTTACCCTTCTCCCCTCGGTAATATATATAGTCAAACAGAGCTGCCCGGTAAACCGTAGGCAGAGAGGGAGAAGAGGACAACAAACGAGGGGCTGTGACAAACTGTTTATATATATATATATATCGTCAAATAGAACTGCACGGTAAACCGTAGGCAGAGAGGGAGAAGAGGACATATATATATATATAGTCAAACAGAGCTGCCTGGTAAACCGTAGGCAGAGAGGGAGAAGAGGACAACAAACGAGGGGCTGCGGCAAAATGTTTCGTCGGAGTTTCACCGACTCATCAAGATAGTCAAACAGTATATGCAGTCACAGAGAGCCGCCTGGTGAACCCCATGCAGACAGGGAGAAAAGGACAAGAAACAGGCGGCGGTGAAAGACTGCTTCGTCCGAGTTTCACTGACTCGTCGAGAGGCTGGCTGAGTATACTGTTATACTATATCTATAGACATCTACATCTATATCTATATGTATCTATATCTATCACCCTATCTGACTCCTGGCATCACACATCCACCACCACATGTACACGCACATATGCATACACCAAAAACACAAAAAGGAAAAAAAAAACAAATGCTGTACAAATGCTTTCCGTGACCGCAAAACCTTAGAGATGTTACTCCTCCGACAATTATTCCTTCCTTATCTCCAGATCATCACCGGGATCCAGATCAGTACCGGGATCCAGATCGCTAACAGGTGATACAGGGATCCCGATCAGTAAAGGGATCCCGACCGATACATTACAGAAAAAGGAAGGAAACTGACTCTCGCATTCTCCTCTGGTGTTCAACCCCGATCAGGATCCATTTCGCATTCTTCTCCGCCCCTTTGCGATCTCACCTCTCTCCTCACTTTTGCCGAAAAGGTTTTAGAATTCACCGGTTTCACCCCAGCAACAACAGCATTGCCTCGCCACTCACTAGCGACAAAAACTTCAAAGTCTTCAAATTTGCTGCTCAATCAGCATACAGAATTGTTAAAAAACGTCCAGACTATAAATAGCAAACACCACAACATTATGCATTACCCCCCTATGCCAACAGCTATACAACGCCCCCCTCCTACCCATCATAGCCCCGTAACCCTCCGGCTATCACGTGCCCACCGCCACTGCCAGCTGACGCGGGCACACAGACCACTGACAGCTGACGGGGGCACACAGACCACTGCCAGCTGACGCGGGCACACAGACCACCGCCAGCTGTCACAGACACAGAGGGCAACCACCAGCTGTAATAGACACAGGGCCCACCGCCAGGAGCGGTCATGAACTCACCTACACCGCCAGCTATTACCTACACACGAAACACCACCAGCTGCCACACTCACGCAAACCACCGTCACCATATCATCATCATCATCATCATCATCATAATCATAATCAGAGCTCCTAATTTCTTAACTGCCGGCAGCATCACTCAGAAAGAGTGCCGCAGGAAGCGTCACACACAAATTTACACCGCCTGCAGCGCAAGCATGAGAACCAGAACTTTTCAACTGAACAGGAGCTCGCAGAAGCAGAGTGCAAGCGTATCCGTCAGAGTGTGGCATCTTCTGTACAGCCCAGTGGGGGAGAGGGATTTCCCCGCACTCGAAAGCTTCATCATGGTGCATGAAAACCAAAGCCCATTCACAGCCCAGAGAGTGCATCACCATTTTCCCAGCCACTTCACCTATCACTCTAGCGTTGTGGCAGATACACACAGTAGCCCAGAGAGTGCACCACCTACTTCTCCCATTTTCCCAGCCTGCAAGCACAACCGGTCCCATCCATCTGCATTGGTTTCTCTTTCCCTCGTCACCTGCAAAATTCACCGACCCCGGTACAGGGCAGTACAATATACGGACCTGCAAAGCACAATGCCAAAAAGACATTTCACATTCAAGACACAGATCTTCTTCGTCGTCTTTAAAAAACGTTTACAAAACAAATTCCGGAATCAAAGGCTCGTCAGGACAAAACACAGAGCTGGGGAGGAGCGGGGGAGGGTGAAGGAGGAGAGTGGGAGAGTGAAGGAGCAGACGTAGAGCAATGAATTAGAAAAACATAAGAACACGCATGAAAACACAAGGAAGGGGAACAAAAATGTATACATATAAACATACATACAAAGATATATACATATCAGCCTCCTGATGGGTCGGTGAAACTCCGACGAAACAGTCTGTCTCTCACAGCCCCTCGTCCTCTTCTCCCTCTCTGCCTACAGTTTACCGGGCCAGCTCTGTTTGACGATTTGTACAGTTTGTCACAGCCCCTCGTTTCTTGTCCTCTTCTCCCTCTGTGCCTACGGTTTACTGGGCAGCTCTGTTTGACGATATATTATATATTGTCACATTGTGAATCAGAGCGCAAAAAAGGGAAAAGAAAAAAGGAAAAGGAAAAAAGGGAAAGGGAAGGAGGTAAGGAAAGCTCCAC